TCTCTCTCTCTCCCTCTATCTATACATTCAAAATTCTACCCCTTATTGTACTATAAGTAACTCTTTCAGTGATCCTCTGTTAAGATAACTTTAAAACATATGAATTTATAGTAAAGACTTGTATTAACTGAATATGACTTAAATGTTAAGCGATTGTAAAGGAGAGGAATATTTAGTAATATTTGCGATGAATTAATGCTCTAATTATCCATTTTTGTAAACAATAATACGTTTAGTTTAGAAATGATATAAACAAATAAAATGTTAAATAAAACACTCTTTACTCCCACTTCTCAATAGTCGAGAGCACAAAATGCATGCAATTTTGGCCAACATTTTTAATTTTTTCACATTTTGTTTGAGAAACTAATTTAGGAAACAAAACCATTGCGTCAGACGTTGAGAATTGCGAGTGAAATGTATTTTTATTAAAATAAAATACTTTTATACATAAAAACAAATTAAAGTGTAATTTAAGAGTTACTAAAATAAGTTTGAGATAAAGATTCAAAACAAAGTATAAATATTTTAATTTACGAAATGAACTCTAAATGTATTTTATGCTTTAAAACACAACAAATATTTGTTAAAATTAGCCTCAAATTGAAATATTTATTCCGATTGATGTCCAGACAGTTGTCATTATAATAAGACATTAGGGTTAAGGGCTTTACACATGAATAGTGAATATTAATGTTAAAATGTTAATCTTATGTACGGTATAGTAATTCCAATATATATTTTTAGATAATTTTTATTGAAAAGCAATTAAGCCATCACTTGTCACAAGGATTTATTGAGATTTTGGCTTAAAAACGGAATTTAATGGGTTATGCGATTGTTTATCAAGTTTGACAACAAATATTCTTGGTTCATTTAACTATCTTATAGAATCATTCAATAATATTTTGTTAGTTATTTGTTTTAATGAGAATTAATTTAAATATATTAAGCATTTATAAAATGTCTGAAAAAAGTCAAAGTATGTAAATAATTGCGAAAACAGACAAATAATTAATAGTCTATTTGACAACAAAACTCAGTTTTGTTATCGCAATGAAAATAATTTAAAAATAGTCTTAAAATGTCGAGTGTTTTCAAACCCTATCCTTTCATAAGAACTAACTGTAAGTGATAAACAAGGTTTGCGATCATTGAGAGAAATTAATCACAATACTGACGAAATACTATGCAATTTCTGCAACTAGTACTGTATAATTCATAAATAGATTCTTATAGAATTCTTAACATAAATGCTTATTATATAGGATAGCGAGTTTAAACATAGCCCAAAGACATAACATTGCCTGTAATCTAAACATTATGATAAGCAAAATGATTGACCATGCTAATTTCTATGATGGAGGGGAGGAACAGAAAGTGCAGTATTAAAAACATTTTCTATTGAGTGACAAATTGTGGATAAAATAAGAAGAGAAAAGTTTTCTTTGATTTTTTGACAGCACTTTTCCAGAGCTTTCCTCCATTAAAATAATAGCATTGAAAACACATATCAGTTATAATGTATTTAAAGCATCGCCAGTGAAGATGTTGTGGTGATGTGTGCGCACAAACCCTCCACACCATTACCACCCGATTGTGTCACACATTCCTGAAATACTGACTGACATTTCAAATATTGCAATCTCTGGATCTGTTTATTACTTAGTCTGTAGTGTTTTGTGTCTATAGTTTACGCGTTGTTTTTTACATAGTTTTACAAATTATAATAATTGTTATTAAAATTTATTTTATATTTTCGTGTAATTCAAGTTGTGTTTCAGTTTATATTAAGATTTTATTTCCACTAAACGATTGTTTAATAAGTTGTTGAAATGTTTTAGAGAATACTTTTTATTAGTTAAATGTTTTAATAGTTATGATATTTGCCAAAACACTTTGAGTTTAAATAACGATAACTTCTTTGACTGATTTGTAAGAATGAAATCGGAGTTTAAATTGAATTTAACTTTTAAATTGATTTTTCAGATCTATTTTAATGGTAGTGATGGGAGAGGACGGCAATCGCAACGCTGTATTCGATGAAATCCGCAAATTTTCGCAAAGAAAACTCAAAAAGGTTGAAACGAAAGTGACCTCAGGTTCGGGTGAAGTAATCACTGAGAAAAGAGGGGCCAAAGGAGTGCAGACAATCAAACACGAAGGCCTCATAGGATCCGGTTATGTGATCGACAATAAACCTGACCTTCAGGTCGGACTCATTATTCCTGGACTTATGATTTGTAAGTATTGTTTAGATTTGATTTTAAAGTGTATTATTTAATATTAAATATGATTTAAAGCCTATATTAAAAAAACATTTTTGTGAATTGAAGTTCAACTATACCTCTAAATATACGACTAAAATATATAAATATATTTTTTAAATGTTCAAAAAATGATTTGTTGTAATGATTCTAAAATGTTTTCTATGCCAAGAATTATCCAAATCTATCATCAATTTTCAAAACATAACAAAATAGTCTTAAGCGTCAAATGATTAAAACGTTTCAAATTTTCGTTTACTAAAGAAATGAATTTTGTTTGAAAAAGAGTTATAAATAGATTTGAATCTTATTTCACGGTTTAGTTATATATAAAATTGAAGCACAAAATGAATGCTTCATCTCTTAGCCTAGTGTTGCTCAGCATCTTTCACTTTCAATCAACATATGACTTACTTCACTCCTCAGCCCACATCTCTCTCTCTCTCTCTCTATCTATCTATCTCTCTCTCTTTCTTTCTTTCTTTCTTTCTTTTTCTCTCTCTCTCCCTCTATCTATACATTCAAAATTCTACCCCTAATTGTACTATAAGTAACTCTTTCAGTGATCCTCTGTTAAGATAAATTTAAAATGTCTTCAATTGACCTCAATTTGAAAATCTTCGATGAAAACCAAATTTTATGCAAAAGTAATTTAAACAGTACTTCAGTTATTGTTTAAACTGAATGTTTATTTGCATACGAATATATGTCAGCCATATATTTAATATTAATCTAATTGTATATATGAGTAATGATTTGCAAATTTGAATCAATAATTAAAAAGCTTTTAAAATTTTAAAGAATATGTTAGAAGTAATGTCGGAATTCTGAGTTTATACATATCTGAGGTCAAGTCCTTAACATAGTTTCCGCACTAATTGTTACAATACTCGAGAACGACATTGAAATTCATTTTCAAGAATTTTTATGCATTGAATGTACAGTAAATATGCCGGTATATAATTTTAATGTAAATTTGTAGATATTTTGAATTAAATTTAATTAATTATATTTGTTTTAAACTTAAATGAAACTTAATGTTAGTTTTAGTTAGATTTTAATGAGTTTCATAAGAGTAGCGAAAACTAATGAATGAATTGATGTATTGATAGCATCGCAAGATGTGGCTCAAGACAAGCCAACACTACAGGCCTATGAAATCACACATATCTTGAATCTCGCGTATGGAGTGAACAACTGCTTCGAAGATGACTACAATTACAAGAAGATTGAGATCCTTGACGTCCCGGAGACCGACATTAAAACGTATTTCGAAGAATGCTTTGAATTCATCGATGAGGGCAGACATTACGGCAATTGTTTGGTTCACTGCAACGCCGGTGTCTCCAGAAGTACAGCCATTTGTACCGCTTATCTGATGACCAAAGAGAAAATGACTTTTACCGACGCTCTCAATGCTGTAAGTGTTGTATTGCTTTTCTTTATTTGTTGCAACAATTATATCGTATCTTAACATAATGTACAATATATTGGAATAAACACTTAATCTAACATGATAATTGTAAGAGCACACAAGTTATATAAATCTAAACTTATCCTCAATTTCTACTCAATTTATTAATATATGTTGTACTTTAGATAATTATAAAGAGCATAGAATTACTTGTACATGTAATTTAAAAGTATATTTTTGAGTAAATGTTATGTAATATTATGACAATTAATGTAATTTTTGTTTATTATTTGATGTATAGATACGAGAAGCGCGTCCATTCTCTAAACCAAACGATGGTTTTATGAGACAATTACAAGAATATAACGACGAGATTAGAGGTAATATTATGACAATTAATGTAATTTTTGTTTATTATTTGATGTATAGATACGAGAAGCGCGTCCATTCTCTAAACCAAACGATGGTTAATACTCTGTTAATGTTCTTATATTGCTGCTCTAATCTCCGTCGCCTCCTGAATTCCTTTGGTTATAACTGCTGCGGAAATGTCGGTTTGTTTTCCGACTCTCCCTCCGTCTTTTTCGTCGGGAATATTCTGGTGTGTCTTTGTTTGAGTCATAATTAACACATTCTTATCGCACGTTTGCCTTTAATTAATGACACTTTAATTTGTGCTAATTTAGTTCATAAACTAGCCTAAAGTTCATTAACTAAATCTAGCCTTTTATGAATGTATTTTGATTGTAAAATGTTTTACGAATTGTAATTACAAATATAACAATTTTTAAAATGATACATGTATTTTTAATGGATTAAATTTAACAAATCTAACGTTTTATATAACTATCAATGACGACAATTCTCTATAGAGAATCTATAGATTCTTGTATAACATTAATTTTAATATGCTTTGTATGAATGTATTGTATTTAATATTACAGCAATTAATTATATTATAAACTAATCAATTAATCCAATTGCCGGTATGTGTAGTGTTGTCTGATTTAGACAATTATAACGTTGATATTTAGTTATAATTAATTTCACTAATTTATTAATATAATAAAAATGCAAAACTAATGATTGCCTTAAGAATCATTTTAAATCTATAATAAAACTTTTGAATACAATCGATAGGGGGTTCGAGTGTGAAAAATAAGTTAAAGCAATTCGGGGCCACTTTGAACGCTCACTTCGAGCAAAGGGCCAAATATATCAGTCCAATCAAATTGCCACTTAAGAAGAGGTCCGACAGTATTGTTCCCAATAATACGAAAGGCCCGCCTCCACCACCGCTACCCAACAATGTAAAGGCACCGCCGCCTCCGCCTCTGCCTAACAATGTTAGGGCACCGCCGCCTCCGCCAATGCCCAACAATTTCAAGACACCTCCGCCTCCGTCCGAACCCAATAGGAAATGGAAATCAGAGGCAAATAAACCCATTGAAGCGCCGAAGAAGTTAATAATAAACAAAGAAATGAATAATAGAGTGAATGACCCGAATAAGAGTCCATCGGTGGACGAAACGCCAATATCTGTGAAGGCTTTCAGACAGAACTTCGAGTCGAACAATAAGATTGAACCGAAAGTACAAAAACCCGTCAATAATACTAAGACTAACGCTATTACTAATAACGCTTGGAATCGATCGCAAACACAGACACCGATCGCCACTCCAGCGCCTGAAGAGAGGAAAAAGATATTAATTAAACAGAAATCCAAAGAAGCGCCGGACGATCAGCCAAAACGCCGGTCGACCAAAGATCTGGTCGATGCCATCGAGAAGGCCAACACTTCCCCATCGGCAGCACAGTTGCCATACACTCAACGAAGACGACAGACAACACAATTAGTTAATAATTTAGTGGAGAATAATGTGCCGAATACTACACAACCGGTTCGTCGGCGAAACTATGCGACTCCTAAAGAGTCCGGTGGTAGTTATGGTGCGCCCACACCTCCCCCTCCACCACAGCCTCAACAGCAACCGATGCCGCGAACCATAAAAATATTTAAGAATTCGTCTGCGAGTCCATCGCCGGCCGCGTCTTCGCCTCTGAGCTCAACTCGCAATTCGCCTCAACCGCCGGTCAGTCACAGTCCATCGCCGGTGCCTTACGGGCCGCCCGACGGCGAGCCATCAAAGATGGTGTTCGGAAGGGTTCGTCCGCCGCGACTATCATTGACGGGACGCACTCTATCGCAGGCCTCCAAGACATTACAGGACGTGAGTAACAAAGTTGCCAATAATGATAGCACTACCACTTCGGCATCTAATTCCCGCTCTGAATCTCCCGTATCAGCTGTTGGCCACACTAGAAATGCCAAAACCACAGATCAGCCAAAGGGCGCACCACACGACCCATCAGCTAAAGCCATACAATCGACTGCAACAGCCAATGCCAATGCAAATGCCAAACCAGTATCAGATGGTTTGGCGAATCAACGGACAACAAATACACCGTTAAACTCAAATCACAACAAATTTACAAATAATAATAAGTTTAAGAAGAGTTGTTCTCCGAGTTCTTCATCTGATGACCAATCGTCTGACGAAGAACTAAATGAGAAGAAAATTGAACCAAAAATGATTTCAACGCTTACAATGCAATTAAAGCCAAACAATATTCACAATAATAACAATAAAACCATTAATAATACAATTAATGGAAGTAATAACGAGCCGCCGAAGAATGACTTACCCCTAACAGAACCAGCACTGGATAATCGGTATAACAGTAAAAGAGTTCCTTTAGGCAAGACTTGCGGTCAACAGTCGTTCGAGAAGAACAAGACTGGACTCAACCGGTCGTCAAGCGCTGCGATATTGAAGTTAATCCGGTCTAACACTAAGGCAGACGTCGGTCTCGACCGACTCGAAGAGGACGACGAGATCGACGCTCTTATCTGTGAGCTCGAGAAGGAAGGCGTCGATAATATCGATTGGGATGAACTCAATGTCGACGTCAAAGAAGTGAAGGATATCATCGATAAGGAGAAGACCGACGAAACCAGTGATGAAGAGTCGTCTTCGAGTGATGACGACACCAGCGATGACGACGACGAAGCCGTTCACATGATTATCAATAGACAGGCGCCACAAGAGTCGGAACAGTCGGACGAAGAGTTTGAAGTGATAGACGACGACGAGGACGACGAAGACTCCAAATGAATGCATGTTTTGCTGTCATTTAGGTTACAATATATTCGCATTTTTTCTCCAAAAAAATAGATTTTCGTCTATATTTTGATTAATTTTTCAAATTCTAATTATTATAATATATTTATTTCCGTTATTATTATAAAAGGTTTTATAAAAAAAGTTATAAAAATATTGTTTTTATTTTGTTGCTAAAGAAATATATTTTATTGTAACCGATAAAACACATTAACAATTATATTATTTGCTCAAAAATGCAAAAGTTCTTTATGTTATCATCAATTAATATTAATTTATATAAATATAATTGAAAAAATGCATAAAATATAAAAAAGTGTTTTATTATCTGTTTTTCTTTCTAACTTAATATATATAAATATAAAGCATTTCTTAATTAACTCTTAACCACAAGTAAATTAATGTAAAAACTGATGTCAAAAATAATTATTGAGTTATTTTTCATTTGTGATACTATTTTAATTATATCATACAAATAGAAAGTATTGAAGAATTGTTTTGAGATTTAATTTAATGGTAAAAAAAGTTTGTAAACTATTATTATTCTGATAAATAAATAGTCTTTTAATATTTAAAATGTTTTCATTTATTATTTAATAATTGTTATAAACTATTTAAAATAAATATTTACTTAAATGAAAGATGAATAAATAATAAATTCAATAATCAGTAACAGCACAGTATTCACTGGATATATTGGAAATACTGGACTAAATTGAAAAATAAGAATTATTTAAATTAGTATAAAAGCATCTTAAAGTATTTAACAAAAGTTTAATAACTATTAATTTGATATATTTAAATTGTCAATTATTTTGTTTAAATAATGTTATTTCGTGTTTAGTTCGTAAGTTTTAAAATTTAAATGCACAAGTGTATTTTGTGTAATATTTTAAAACAAAAATGTGTTTCAAATTAAAATAGATGAATGGAGAGGATATGGTCTTTGATCTCTAATATTCATCTATTATTGCTATTGAAATGCAAAGAAAATCGAAGAATAATTTCCATTTTAAATACTTTTGAAGAGTTGTTGCCTATTCTCAATGCAATAGCATTTCTCGTCGACTCAATCTATTAATAGAAATCATTGCAAATAACACGAGAGTATAGGCTTTGACCCGATTCTTATATATAGCACTCAACGAATCTAAACAACATTTGCATTCATTACGTGAATATTAATCAATGCAAGTATGGGATGAGTTGGGAGTAAATAACACAACAGTTTTGTCAATTAATGGAGATATTTGTGCTCAAAAAGTTGACAGACATTGAACTGATTTTGTGGCACAAAAAACAATCCACAGCTTTGTTTAGATCGCAAAATACTTTCTTATAATTGACTTTTACTAAAAACCATTAAAACATGGTCCATTTTCGGTTTCGTTTGCAATTATATTTGTGTTGTTAATTGTAATGAATTTTATAAAACTATTTTTAAAATTTATATTTAAATAGTTATAAAACAAATAACACTTTTAATATAAAATTGTATTTTACATAATAACTAAAAGTATAATGTTTTGAATTAAAGCTAAATAAGTTATATTGATCTGAATCTAAATTTATTTTATGAATAATTTTAAGAGTGAATTAAATATGAAATGAAATAAATAAAAATGATTCCCGAAATATATATGATTTAAACAACCAATTAATTTAAAATTAATCTTTAATTGACATCAAAAACATAATTATTGATATAATGAACGATAAGTAGAAAAAGAGTACAATTAATACAGAATAAAGAGAAAACATTAGATTTATTTCCAGGGAATTGT